GGTCGTGATGGTGGGCTCTGATTTGATGTGATGGGACATCCTTATGAAAAAAAGGGGGTGCTGGGCATAGAAACACATACATGTGAAGAGAAATGACATGAAGACATACAGGGACAATACCATGTGATGACAGAGGCAGAGACCGGGGTGGCACTGCATACGCCAAGGAGTGCTGGAGCTTCCAGAAGCTGGAAGAGGAAAGGAAGGATCTATAGGCTTCAAAGGGAGCACGGCGCTACCAGCACCTTGACCTTGGATTCCAGCCTCCAGAAGTGTGAAACAATGCATTTCCATTGTTCTAAGCCAGCCGCTTTGTGATTCTTTGTTATGGCAACTCCAGGAAGCTGCTATAGAGGGGTCTGGCCCCATTTTGCAGATGAGGACACCGAGGTTCAAGGGTGACGGGAGCCTGAGGGGTTGCACTTGGGGTCTGGGCCTGTGGCCACAGGTTCAAGGGTGGAAAATAAGGGTGTGCCTGGGAGCTGTGTTGTGACAAGGGGTCTGGGTTGAACGAGAGCCACAGATGGTCAGATGGACCCTGCACTGCTGATACCCCCTGCGGCACCCCAGGTTATGCAGGGGGCTTTCCTTCCAGTTCCCTGTGCTCCTCAACTGGAGACACATGTTAATTGTCCTGAGTTTACGTGTGTTTCCTATAGACATCGCCGGTAGAAACTTAAGCTGCATGATTTGAGTCTAGAAGAGCCAGGGGTATTACTGCGGATCTGAGATACACATCTCAGTTAGGAGTCAGAAAAATGGGCTAGGAATTACAGTGACTCCTGCCTGTAATCCCATCACCTTGGGATTGTTGGAGACCAGGAGTTCAAGACCAGCCTGTACAACATGTAAGACTCCTTCCAAAAAAAATTGTAAAAATTAGCTGGGTGTGGTGACACACATCTGTGGCCCCACCTGCTCAAGAGGTTGAGGCGGGAGGATCCCTTGAGTCCAGGAGTTCGGGGCTACAGTGAACTGTGATTGTGCCAGGGGACAGAGTAAGATTCCATCTCTTAAAAAGAAAAAAAGAGTCAGAAAAATGGGTCACTTCCTAGCTGAACCTCAGTTTCCTCCTCTGAAAATGGAAGAACAACACAGCTCACAGGGCTGTTATAGGATCCCGTCAGGCAATGTGCGCACAGCCATGGCTGCTAGCTGGAGACGATGTGTCTTGGGAGCCGTGACTAGAGGGCCACCGGATGTGTTTACCAGTCACACACGTCTCGTGTGTGTGTGTTTGTGTGTGTGTGAGTACCAGAATGGGGCACCCATTCACCCTCAAAGGCCCAGGGAATGAGCCCCCCACCCAAAGCAGGGAATGTACCCACATACCCCAGCAATTGCCATCCGGAGCGGCTCACCTGCCCAGGCCCCAGGAGCTGCCATCTGCCCTCTCCCACAGTGCCCGGGGAGCACTGCCTGACATCCTCCCAGAGCCCCCGGAGCAGGGCCTGGTTGTGCTTATCCTCCCCTCAGGGTCCACCCTTCTAGGGCAGCTGGGGCAAGGGACCGGGGGTGCACCAACTTTTCTAGGTGAGCAGGGAGGCTGGACACCACGCCAGAGCTCCGTCAGCCCTGACAGCAGAGGGCAGTCATGGCCAAGTGAACAGTTCATGGAGACTCCATGGAATAGGCAGCTGGAGAAAACGCCAGATGATGCCATGGAGAAGCTTCAGCCACAGGGAGGCTGTCACCAGGTGTTTATCCAACGCCACACCTATGGCTCCCAGGGAAACTCCACATTGACAAAGATACATCCAGAGCAGAGCTCATGTGGAAATAGTTGTGTGTGAGAGAGAGTGTGCATGTCTGAGTGTGTGAGTGTTGTGAATGTGTGTCTGAAAGAGTATGTGTGAGTGGGTGAGAGAGCATGTGAGTGTGGTGTGTGTGTGTGTATGAGAAAGACAGAACGAGCAAGCTTGTGTGTGTGTGTGTGTGTGTGTGTGTGTGTGTGTGTGTGTGTGTGTGTGTGTTGGGGCTGTCCCATGATGCCCAGGATTGGGAGCAGGTTCTTCTAATGCACACTTGGTGCCTGCCAAACTGTGGTGGGCAACTTGGTAGCTACCTGCAAGGTGTAAACGCACATATCTTATACTCTGCAGTTTCTCCTTTCAGAACACAGCCTCTGGACAGAAACACACTCGTGTGCAAGGATTAAGTCCCGAGATGCTCCCTGCAGCCTGCTGGTAAGAACAGAAACCTCATCCAGGATTCAGGGGGGCTCAGATCCCAAAGGGTGGCTTTCGACCCCTGATGAGGAGCTCAGACTTCCGTGAGGGACAACAGCGAGCCACAGCAGGCTCGAAGCAGGGGAGGGGCGTGTTCTAATCTGTGCTTCGGATGGATCATTACAACAGGGCAGAAATGGCAGAGACCCCAGACTGAGAGGCCAGAGGCTGGGAGACAAGCTGATAATTCAGGCTGTGTTCCCTCTCCTTTGGATTCTATTCCCTCTCCTTTGGAGGTATCTGAAATGCCTTGGGGTAGCGGATGTGTGTGGAATGAGGAAGAAAGAGGGGATAAAGAGGACGCTCAGGTGACGTCTGGGAGGGCCTGTCCCCTGTACCTCCATCACCCCTGCTGTCCCGTCAACCTCACGCCTCTACCCACCATCTCTCCCCCAGCACCCAAGCAAAAAATCAGCACAGCGGAGTGGGTCCTGTTCTGGAGTCAGAGGGCCTGGCTCAAGCCCAGCTCTGCCAGTGCGACTCCAAGCACTTGATTGTTCTGTGCCTCAGTTCCCCCTTCTGTAAAACAGAGGTAGTGAAAGACCCCAACTCAAAATCTTGCGAGGGTTAAATCACATAGAAAAGTGCGTGACACGCACAGTAAGTGCTCATTAAACATGAGCTATTCCTGTTATAAATATGCATATGGCAGACACTCCATAAGTATTTACAAGATGAATATTTGTTGTTAAATCAACATGAAGTCCAATCAAGGAGTGAGTTTGAAAAATCAGAGAATGGAAGTTCAGAGCAAGTGCCCCTCCCCTTTGAACAGAAGGAGGAGGTCAGGCAGAAAGTCAGAGACAGCCTAGTCAGGACCAGGGAGGGACCTGGGGCCCACGGCTGCCAAGTGCGGAAAGTTCCTGGCTTCCTCTGTGTGGACCTGCACTTTCTGGCCTGGCCCTGCTTGAGGGATCTCTGAATCCAGCTGGCCAACTTCCCCCATGGACACACTCCAATGCCTTTCCAGACCTGGGCTCCTCCTGGGAGGGCCTGGAGGTCTCCTGCGTTGGAGGACAGCTGGTTCCTCTAGAGGCTCCCGTACGCCCATCTGGAGAGAAGTTTCCTCGGATGACAAAGTCCTCTTCCCTCCCTGGCGAATTTCTGCCATCCACTGTGGCTATTACCACAGTCCAGTTGAATCCAGGAGGGCCAAGCCAGAAATACACAGAAGGTTGGGTCTGGGGATAACATCAGAATGGAAGAGTGAGAAAGGGACAGCTGGGTGAGTGGTGGGAAGGGTCCTAGGTAATGGGACAGAGTTCTTGAGCAGAGTCTGGAAATCTTGTTTTCTCACCCCACCAATTGTACAAAAACAAGACAGGCTACACAATTTATGAGGCCCAGAGCAAACAAATACATGGGGCTCCTTGACAGAAAATTAAGAATGCCAAGACAGCAGCAGCAAAACTTAAACCAAGAACGAGACCTCCTGTGCCTGGGACCTCGTGTGACTGCAGGTTACACATTCATGGAGCTGGCCCCGTGCACACACCTCTGAGTGCATGCCTAGCAGTGAGCTTTTCTGGGGAAAGGGCCTTCAAAGTCATGACCCAAAAAGGTTAAGAATCACTGCAACTGAGGTTAAGTGAGGAGCCCTCCTCACTCGCCTTCTCCCTCAGAAAAGCAGGGGGCAGTGATAGACTAGTGAACACACTGCATGAGCCAACTTTGAAGTAGGGCAGGCTCTGATGGCCATGGGACAGAGAGAAGTGGACACACGAGGATTGGAGATTAGAGTGGGGAGGGAAAGGTGTGAAGGCTGATTCCCAGGCTGTGGCTCAAGCACCTGGATCAGTCAATGGTGGTGCTGTTCATGGAGATGGAGATGGTGGAAGCTGGGTATTGTGTTTTGCTTTGCCGAGAAGCAACGAGAAGCAAGGCTCCCATCGTAGACATGAGAGGGTGTCAAGCAGACAGATCAGTGTTCAGTGTGAGATACACACATCTTGGGGCCATTGATATAGAGATGGCATCTAACCCTGCTGGCATGGCTGAGGGCTCCTAGGTGTTCATGGGTGCAAGAGCTCCGTCGCTTCGGGCACTCTAACTGCCCTGACTCCCAGGTTCTCACTTGTAAATGGAGGTGAAAATAACACCCTCTTCACAGGACTTCATAAATGAGCTGGTGAGGGGGCAGTGCTTCGCATAGTTCCTGGTACCTATTGATGCCCCAACGAATATCAGCCATGATCATTTTCTGCATCATGTCATTCCTTCTCCAAGTATGTCTCAAACCCCTATTGTGTGTCAGGCAGTGCTTTGGGGCTTTGGATACACCCATGACGTGGCATGTTCGAAGGTGGTAAGTACTATGGCAAAAGAAGAGCAGAGTGGGAGGCACGACACAGGTGGGGTGGGGGGTGCTGCAATACCAAATAGGGTGGGAGGACGGGGAGCCCTTCTGAAGCAGTGACATGGGAGCAAGCCCTTAGAGGTGCAATAGTGCACTAAGCAGACATCTGAGGGAACCATCTGTCAAAGACCCTCAGGAGTGTGGTGGGAGGTGAGGTCATGGAGGGAAGGGCGGGGACTTGGTAAGGACTCTTCTTGGAGGCTGATATTCCGACAGGGTGGAAACAGGCCTCCCCCACAATGAGGCGAGGGCTCTCTCATGGCGAAGAGAGCAGTACCCCGGCATGGCTGGGGGAGCACACCTCCAAGATGGCAGAGGCACCTAGCTCACCCGCACAGTGGCTGCCCAAGGCTCTGGGCAGGCCCTAGGCAGCCCCCAGGCAGCCCCTGTCGGTGCCACCCCTAGAAAGGCCTTACCTGGCAGAACAGGCTCACCAGCCAAGCCTCTCCTCTCAGCCTCAGAGTGTCCCCTTCCAGCAAAACTCGGCTGGGCCTTTGCTCCAGGGCCCCCAATCCAAGCATAAATGGGAGTCATTTTCTTCTGGGTCTGTGGAGATACAAGACCAGGTCCCTGGGGTGGTCACATCCTGCCTCCTTTCTCTGACCCGGAAGAAGTTCCCTGTCAGGTCTGGGTATCCCCGTAGCCTTGTCTAAGGCTAGCCCAGAAACCTTAGAAATACTTCAGGGTCTTAAATGGTGACCAGGGATCAGTGACTTGGAAAGTGGCCACAGACATCTTATGGGGAAAGGACCCCAGAGGTGAGCATATGACTTCCTGTGTTGGGTGTGGTCCAGGAGGAGGCATTGAGGAGACACAGTCATTGACCCATCCATATGTAATAGGCTAAGAAGAGATCATTTTGGTTATTTAAAAAAATCTTATTTGTGTAGTTAAGACCAAGCTGAACATAAACTGCTTGAACTGAGAGGTTTTTTTTCTCTCCCTCTCACTGCCCTTGGAATGTAACCCCCACTTTTTTGGGCTAGCATGGCCTTGCCCACTGGTTTGGAAGGCCAATTTATCTAACAAGCTGGTGCTGGAGAAAGCAGATGCCCATGAGAAATGAAAAAATTACATGTCTTTTAAAAGAACTTCACAAGATAGAGATATAGACTTGATGGACACTCCCTGAAACCTTTGGAGTGTACTCATTTCTTTAAATGCAAACCTCATTATGGCATTCAGTTTAGATTCCTGTCTTATGCAATCATTAGTTAGGTCATATGTGAACCAGAGCTTGCTATTATAACTAAACAGGAAAGGATCACTCCGGGATTGTTTTAAAAAAGCAAGACTATTAGTCTAGATACTGGTTGATGCCAATAGGTGCTAAGAAGAGTAAACGCTGATTAAAAAAGGAACTCTGGGTATGGCCATGAGACACAGAGACACTGTTAATCAATAGTTGAAGAAGATAAGACATTGCCTGTTTTAGCTATGAATACTGAATGCAAAATTTGCCTCAGTGAACAAGTTTTTTGATCAATACCCGAAACGGTTCCGTTACCTAATTTTCAGAATAAATGCCCATTTTCTCCCAGCTTCTGCCTCTCATGCTCTTTGATTGGCTGAGAGAGAAAGCAGCCGATTATTGGACTGAGCCGTAACACATACATTCATCCACTTGTCCATTCATTAACAAATATCTGACTACACAGGTACAGTGATCTCCAATGCAGCACGGTTTTGTAGTGAAGCGCACGCGCGCGCACACACACACACACACACACACAAACTACACATAAATACCTGGAAACTGTGCATATTCTCCACGAGAGTTCTGTGTGGCAGTCATACCACATGGAGACCTGATTCATGTGTCAAATGACTTGTCACAAAGCTATGAAAGTGATTGCATTGTATCTGGATCTTTTAACTTATAGGATATCCATGGTATAGTACAAGCTAACTGCAGAGAAATGTAACAGGATCTCTGAAGAAATAACAAATACTGCCCTCCCACTATTTTTTTGAAAGCCCACATATGTTATAAAGCATGTGCATGAGTTTGCTCACATGGCTCACCTTGGGAAGGCAAGGTGAAGAAGGGGAGGGCATGGGGAAGATATCTTTTCTGACTAAACTCTTCCATTGTTTCACTGGCTGCAGAGACGTGGAGAAGGCTGGCTAGAGCCTCATTTTGCAGAGCAAGAGCAGGAGACAGAAAAGGCTGAGCCTCGACGTCTTCATCTGTGCAATGGGCATAATGATAGCATCTTCGGGGATGAGAGCTAACTGCAGGAAGACACGTGAAACACAGCACAGGGCCTAGCACAGGCCTTCGGCAGTGTTGGCAATTATTATGACTCACAAATCAGTATGGCATGAAGTGACTGACTGTTCTTCACTAGAGAGAATGATTATTTTTTGAATATATACTGTGTGCTAAGTATTTTACATACATTTTCTTATTTAATCCTCTTAACAACTTCTTAAAAGCAATCACTAGCACTTTTGACATTTTGCAGATGAGGAAGGCTCAGAAAGGTGAAATGACTTGTCTGGGCTCACAGTCAGGAGCGGTGATACTGAACTCTGGTTCAGCCTCCCTGCCTCATGGTTCCCTTGGGTGCATTTGTTTGGAGTCAGGGTGTCTAAAGGTAGCTTTGAGCTGGATGTCTTGCCCCAAGGCCCACTGTGACGGGGACAGGAGCCTTGACAGGCATGGCCTGCTGGGCCACTCCTGTTCAGTTCTAAACCCAGCACTTTGGAGGTCTCCCTCCTTCTTTCTGAAAACTCTTTTCAAGTTGCAAACAGCAGCAGCAGAGCATCTACCCCTTTAGTGGTGTTGTGGCTCCATCCTCCCTCCCCATGTCATGGCCGGAAGTCAGCACTGTCCCCAACGGCCATCTTCCCCAGGAGCTGAGCTGCCATCCTCCTTTCTTACCTCAGTGCCTGTCTTACTGGGCAACTCTTCTTCCCTCCCCCCAGCTGCCCTTCCAACTCGGGAAAGTACATCCTGTGGGCACCCCATACTCAACCCTCTTTCTTCCGGTCGCTGAGACCACCAGGTTGAGCCAAGCAGGAGTGGGGGTGAGAAGGGCGGAGAGGGGGCGGCAGAGCTACTCCTGTCTACCTCTCATACTGGATTCAGGCCAAATGGATTCCAATAAAAAGATTCACAACAGAATAAAAACCAGGGCTGGGTGTCCTGAGCCCCTAGGCCCTGACAAACCCTGGCAGGCCCAGACCCTGGGCTTGAGCCAGTTCCCAGCACAGGGCAAAATTCACTCATAATACTGAGCATTCTGAGGAGACAGAAACTCTGAGGAAGGACCGCCCATCTTATTTTAAGGGTGGTTTCTCTTCACTGCAAAATTAACAAAGGATTTATTTCAAAATGCCACGTGACACACCAGTGAGCAAACAGACTCTCAGGAGAAAGTCTGAGGAGAGGTTGGGGCAGGGTAAGTTCTGTGACAGGTTTAGGCAGGGCCTCCAGGAGCATGATTTGCTGGAGATGAATCCTGCAGCAGCGGCCCCACGGAGGTGAGTATCTCGCTCGAGAGCAGCTGTCCATACATTTCCACACCATCGACAACACTGACATTGACCAATGATGATCTCCGCCTACAAGCACCTTCCATGTGCCACGTGTGTTTGTGTACCGTGTGCCCTGCACAACCCCAAAGGGCAGATACTATTATTATCTCCATTTTGTAGGTGAGAAAACTAAGGATCTGGGAGGACTTGCCCAAGTCACATAGCGGAGGAGGTGGCAGAATTGGGATTTGAGGGCAGACAACTGGTTCTCTGAAGTACTTCATAAGCGTGTGACTTTGGGCAGGTTGCATCTCCTCGGCAAGCCTCAGTTTCCTCAACTGTAACATAAGATGACTTCACAGGATTATTCTATTTAACACAAGACCTAGTATATAGTCAGTGTTCAAAGGAGGTTAGCTATTATTAAGAACTATTAAGAAGCAAGGCTGAAATCTGAACCGTCTTTTTTTTTTTTTTTTTTTTT